AAAATTCAAATAGCTCTGTTCATTTTAAAGCTACCCCTTTTAATCTTTCCTTACACATGCTATTTTCCATTCTTTTCTCTCCCAAGTTCCTGGTGTGGGATAGGAGCAGATAGTTCTAGCACTGACACACTGGTTTGAAGAGTCTTCCGTTCCCAGCTCCTGGAATCATATTTAAAATTGCCAGTACACAGTAGAATTGCTTACTTAGATATCTGTATTATTTATGTCTCTTGTTCCAATACCACTTGTTTAATTCACCAGGAGCTTGCAGGACACTGCCTAAGTGTTCCTGTTCACCACAGGGTGCAGGACTGTACTCACAGCTTTCTGAGAGCTCCTCTTTGATCACTTGTCTCCTCTTTTCTGGTGGGTTTTGGCCAAAGATTTCTGCTGGTGTCTTGTGATTTCTCACACCTCTGCTTCTTGCCATGGCTTCTGTTTCAGAAAGGTGTAAGTTATTTAGCTAATGCTTTTCCAGCACATTACCCCTTTTCACGAGGGAATAAGTGCTAGTTTGTAACAGCCCAACTACAGACCCTGTTCAGGATTTTGGTATTTTATTTAGAAAACTACAGCTTTCTGAAAGTCTAAATTAACCAGCAGTTAAGAGCTCCAACAGTTTTTTTGTTTTGTGTTTATTTGATAGACTTCTATCTCCCACATTTCACAATGATCAGGTCATAAAATTAAAAATCAACTTTTTTGTCTTTTTACAAGATAGTGTTTTCTATGGGATCTAAAAAGTCTACAAAGATAGACAACACCTGATACAGAGTTTTGAAGATATAATATCTTCATGCACTGGAAATTATAGATATTAAGATTTTGGGGGGATCTAAATCTTGTTATGGCATTTTGATGCTTTGCCTTTAATAGGATTTTTTATTTCTTAAACATTTCTTTGCATCATTATTAAATGGATTCAATTTTACAGAGAATTGCCATAGGAGGAACTTGAATATAAAAAAATACATATTACAAACCCCCTATGTTTGTTTATAATAAATAGAAAAAGCAAGACTTAGGTGCGTAATATGAGCATGAAATGGAATTTAGATGTTTGAATCGAAAACTGAAACTGTTTGAATCCGAAACTGCATGTACTTGCTTTCTCCTGGAACCTGAAAAGCCTTGGTCCTTAGTCCTTCCAAATTCATGTCTGAATCTTGACTTTTTGAATGTTTCCAGATACACCTAATTTTCCTGAAGGCTGAGTTTTCCAAGGATATGGGAAAACAAGAAAAAGAGCAAATTAGGTGGTAGCAAAGAGATATTGAAGTCCAAGGCAGTAAAAGCAGTAATTCACATGTTTAAGCAACTAGATGTCAACACACACCTTTATTTATTTACTAGCAAACCTAAAATGAAGACTGAAAATATCCCATAATTGAGCATAGCCAAAAGCATTAATACATTGACTGACCTGTAAACCTATGAGGTGGCTTGGGTTTCACAAACACATTTTCCCTGAATCTTAAGATCCTGAAATTTTGACTTGTGCCTGTTGTCAAGCCATGGATATTGCCATGCAAAAATGAGGTTACGGTGTTTCTGCTGTTGATAGAGTGTCTCTGCAACAATGAACCTTAGATGCACACAGCCTGAGGAACAGTGAGCAAAGGAAATAGTGATGAATTGTCACTCAGGAACGGTAGTAGTATGAGCACTAGTTTTCAGTTCCTGTTCCCAATATATTATTTCTTTAGGTACTATTTAGTATGAAATGCTGACATACCAACCAATGAGCTAATAGTCACATACCTTCTGATGCTCATTCTCCGATTTACTGGACAACACATTTTTTTTTCCACACTTCAGGCTGATGAAGCTTCTAAACTAAAAAAAAAAAAGGCCTGGGGTAGGGCAGAAAGCCCACTTTCCAAGATGATAGCCTACATCCTTCTGATTCAGTCAGTAACTCTTCAAGTTGAGGAGGAAATTCCCCTGTGTACTGGACAAGCAGCCTAGTCAAGGAGGCTTTTATATTCAAAACAGATTTTCATTCTTTCTGTAATCTACAAAGACAGGGTTCCAAGATGTGGATTCTGAGTGAAAAAGAGACAGCGAGACCTAATTGATGCAAAAAACCCCAAAATAAATAAAAAACCAAACCTGGCAATTTATTACCTAACGGGCCACATTTAGGAGTCTGTTTTGAAACCTAAACACTTAGATTCCATTTTAGTCACAAACCCCTCTCAAGTACTCCTCACAGCGTACATGGGTTTGAAGTTAAGCTTCGAAGCCTAGAGCTAGCTGTCAACATTTCTGTCTAAACTAATAGAGAAGTTCTCATGGGTTGATATTTACCACTCTTTTTTTTGGAATGCACATGACAGGCAGTCCTAGATATTCTTGAAGAATCCTAATTCTTTTTCTATGTTTGCAAATATTTTTCAATATTTTAAACAAGTTCCCTTGTTCATGGCCTATAAAGTTTGAGAATGAAACTTAGTTACAGGGATCGTATGGGGTCGTATGGGGTTTTAAGCCTCTCAAAAAACCAACAAATAAAAAAAACCAACAACAACAACAACAACAAAAAAAAACACACCAAAAACAAAACAAAAAAAACCCCAGACTTAAAAACCTTGGAAATTCTCAGGTAAAATCAGTACATTAAAATTTTTCCAACAAGCTACTGTGGTAAAGAGAGGGAGAAAACCAGAAATCTTTAATAAGTTATTATGTTATGAAATTAATACATATTTTTCTCTAGCTCTACATCACAAGATCTTTTTGCAGCCTGAACTTTTGGTTTACTCACACAATTACAATATTCTTCTAAAAAAGAGAAGCTGTTTTAACTGATAACAGCATTTCTAAAATAGCCAATTTACATAAAAATAAATGAGCTGACTAGTTATAACCAAAGGGAGAAGAGGCTACAGTTTAATACCATCGTTATAGAGAGAGTACATAAAGAAGTACATCTTGGCAAAAGTACAAATAAAAAATTTGCTAGCACACAGCTTTGTTTGCTTGTTTATTGTCAGTGAACAAACAAAACATGAGTAAAAATGATATTCCAGAACTGCATCTACTTGTCTGCCAATATGGAGTGGAAGTCCTTGTGCTATGCAGGTTCTTCCATGGGAACATACATATTACTATTGCATTAAAATTTTTCCAACAAGCTACTGTGGTAAAGAGAGGGAGAAAACCAGAAATCTTTAATAAGTTATTATGTTATGAAATTAATACATATTTTTCTCTAGCTCTACATCACAAGATCTTTTTGCAGCCTGAACTTTTGGTTTACTCACACAATTACAATATTCTTCTAAAAAAGAGAAGCTGTTTTAACTGATAACAGCATTTCTAAAATAGCCAATTTACATAAAAATAAATGAGCTGACTAGTTATAACCAAAGGGAGAAGAGGCTACAGTTTAATACCATCGTTACAGAGAGAGTACATAAAGAAGTACATCTTGGCAAAAGTACAAATAAAAAATTTGCTAGCACACAGCTTTGTTTGCTTGTTTATTGTCAGTAAACAAACAAAACATGAGTAAAAATGATATTCCAGAACTGCATCTACTTGTCTGCCAATATGGAGTGGAAGTCCTTGTGCTATGCAGGTTCTTCCATGGGAACATACATATTACTATTGTCTTGCTCTCAAAAAGGAAAAAAAAAAAAAACAAAAACAAAAACAAACAAAAACCCCCACAGTTAAAAGTAGAGACCAGTCCTGAAATAAGAAAAAGAAGTACTGAAATACCATCACTCTTTCTAGCTCAAATAGCCAATAGTCAAGTTCTTCGCCTGTAGAAGTAGTTAGCAACCAAGTTTAGCTGTAATTCTAATTAGAGAGAATATATCCTTTTTTGTTTCCTATTTTCTCAGGAACAGATGCAACAGTAGTCAGCTTCTTTAATCACAAATCAAAGTCTCTTTGTAGCCAGCACTTTGGACTTAAAAACTTCCTCTCTTGGCTTCTTCCTAACGGGAAACTAAACACTTTTCTGTCATTTTCCTGCCTTTCTTGTGTGCTCAGCTGCAGGATCCCAGCCCTCTTTCTTCACTGTCTCTATTGAACTGATGCTTCATTTTTGGAAGAAAGACAACCAGCAAGTACGTGTATAACTTTGTTAATATATCGTAATTAACCTATCTAACTTAACAGGCATAAGAGAACTATTGAAAACATGAGATATTTATCTAATGACAGGTAAATGGTTACCAGCACCTAGTTTATAAACCATAACTATAATATCCCCTATTATAGATTATCTCCTACTGCTATAACTGGCCACAGTTTTTTCACCAGTATTACCATTCCATTATGTTCAGACACAGGGCACATACAGACCAGGCAGGTTTCACTTCCTAATCAACAACCACCTGCAACTGCATCCCATCAGTTAAGATCAAGAATTACTTGCAGGAATGGAGTTTCATAATTTCCACTGGCAATTTATAATCCAAGCTGTTTGACTGGAGATATTGACCCCAGACAAAAGGCAGCAGCCAAAGCCTGTCAGCTCTGGCTGTTGGCAGTTAAGAACAAGGAGTGTACTGAAGCTTGGAAAATAAAGACATACAAGTTGCCCAAGATGTTAGTACCTATTGAGGAGTGTTCGTTGGCAGTTGTGTTATCTTTCAATGGATCTTGGTATTATCTCCTTCATTATGTTTCACTTTGCCAGCAGTTCCCAGCAAGTATGAAGACCCAGGTGTAGTACAGTATTGCACTGGAGAGCTACTACTAAACATAGGATGAGATGTAGACCAAAGAACTGAAACCAAAGGGAAAAACTTAGAGTAACCTTTGGGTCTCAAAAGCACTTGCTTCTACTTCCAGCCTTGCACCTCAATCTCTGCTCTCCATTTCAAAGTAAATTACACAGAAGAAGAGTAAAAGATTACGTTTAAGTTTGGATAAAGTTGTCACCCATTGGCAAGCCACTCATGTAGGATGGGGATCAGAATTAATTAATTTTCTGGAGTTTCTTGAAGGACACAGACTCTTCAACGGGGCCACAAAACACTTACCTGTAAGTGGATGTTGTGGTTTAATCCCAGCCATCAACCAAACACCATGTGGTAACTCACTCTCCAAGTAGCCAGGACTGGGGAGAAAATCAGAAGTGTAAAAGCTAATAAACTCACATGTTGAGATAAGGACAGTTTAACAGAGAAAGCAAAAGCTGCACACACAAGCAAAGCAAAACAAGGAATTATTTCACAGCTTCCCATGGACAGGTAGGTGTTCAGCCATCTCCAGGAGAACAGAACCGCATCACATTACTTGGAAAGACAAACGCCATCACTCCAAACATCCTCCCTTCAGCCTTTTCCCCCTGCACTTTGTATACTGAGCATTATGTCATAGGGTTTGGAATATCCCTTTGGTCAGCTGGGATCACCTCTCCTGGTTGTGTCTACTCCCAGTTTCCCATGCACCCCCAACTTCCTTGACAGCGTGGCAGTATGAAAAGCAAAGAAGTCCTTGGCTCTGTGTAAGCCCTGCTCAGCAATAACGAAAACATCTCTATATTATCAATTCTATGTTCAGCACAAATCCAAAACATAGGCCCATACCAGCCACTGTGAAGAAAATTAACTCTACCCCAGCCAAAACCAGCACAGTGGAAGAAGGATTGAGTTCAGCAAGTCGGAAAGCATACAACTTTCAGCTGAGTATTTTTTCCCCCCTCTCCTATAGATATGTCTGCAAGACAGCATTCACTTTAAACTTTTTTTTCCCCCTCCCTAAAGGACCATGTCAGTTGTCTAAGATCCAAAATCCTTATTTCATGGAAAATAAAGTTGTTTCTATTCGCCTAAGTATATTTATCACTAAAAGTTTTGTTTTACTTTTTCATGGCTTTAAATAATAGGATTCAGCATACTTGTTAAGACAAAAAAGGACAGGGTGTGGTTAAGGGGCAAAAGCAGGCACACACAAGTGTCACTTCACAGTTCTACAATTTGCATCTCATATGTATCTCTGCTGTTCTAACACAGAGATTATCTTCAGTGACCAAAATGTATAACTGTTTGAACAGCAACAATATACACAGGTTATTTTTAGTTCAAACATGTGGCACTACTCATTGTGCAGCTGCTTTCATGCATTAATGCATTGTGATACAAAACCCTAATTGCAAGAACCCAAATTAATTGCAAGCAATGAGACATTTTGGATTGAAAACCCCTTTTGGCTACACTGGAATAGAGTTGTTGACTTTTCAAGCTAAAAGAGATATGAATCATGGAAAATATCTCATTCTTAACCCCTAAAAGTACCCAATATTCTTGAACTAATGCAAAATGCAGTTATGTGTTGGCTTAGAAATTACAACTTCTCCGCCAAAGGTTAATTTAGACTATTCATCCAAGATTAGTTGCAAGTTTTTAAAACTGTAAATAAATTCTTGTTCCTAAACAGCACAGGTTTTCAAAGCAGGGACTATAACCCACAGCCTATAAAAGGAAAAGATTTAAAGCAGAAATGGGACATTTGACTTCTGCATATTTGGAACATTTAATCACCCTCTTGGTTATATGGAATAAGTTAGACTGGCGTCTTTTTCTTCAGCTCCTTAGCAAAGTACATTTCTTTAATAGAGACTTAATGGGATGATTTAGAACTGAGTCCTGCACCTTTTACAGCAACTAACTATAGAACTCCTCTTTGTTTCAAGAGGGAAGAGGTCCAAAGACTGTAAGTGCCTGAAGGTACAGACCACAGCTTTTTCTCCTGTTTGAACAAAAGTGTACATCTTTCACATTCATAACACAAGACATTAATGTATGTATAATGGGAGAATTTTTGTCTGATTCTATTAGTAGAGAGAGCTATGCAAAACCTAAGGTGTTTTAGCTGTAATCACAGGGGGGAAGGGGGGCGTGGGGAATCTAAGGTATAAAAGTACTATCTCAGGACTTACACAAAATAATATTTATGAGACCTAGGTCTCAGACAGAACAAGCATAGGCAGATTTGGCTGCAACATTTCAAAACACTGATGTTATTGGATCACCTTATATTGCCCCTTTGCTTCAGACAAGTACCCACATAAAAATGAATGTCTGTCATACATAGTTGAATCTTAGCACATATTTACATTCACTGTCAATTTAAGTAAATTATTTATGTTACCAATTACCATATTAAAATAAGCATGTGAAGTGTTGTCCTGACCTGAGGAAAAGAAAGATAATCCAGGTCACTAAATTCTAAAAAAAGCCACACCCACATCCACCAGAGAATCTTGTGTAATTTCATCTAATTTCCACATTTCCAACTCTGAAATTTCTATATTCTGTAAGCTCTTATTAATAGTAGTGAAATTTAGTTTTGAGCTGCCCTCAATGCATACTTATTCACATTTAATAGTGCACCCTGAAATTATATTCTGATAGTTATTTGGTTGGCTCTGTAATGTGCCAAATTTTTATAAAGTCATTACAAAAGACCTGGTGTTACTCTAATCTGTATAAATGCTTTAAAATGGGAAACTATAAACTTTTCTCTCTTTGTTTTACAGACATGGTGGAACTATTGCACTTGGAAGGTACCCTCCTTTCACCTCTCACCTGGAGGGGATGGGGGGAGAGATAAAAAAGAAAAAGAAAAAGGTGTTGAATATTTTCAAAAATTTCTGCACCTTAAAATCTTCAATGCATCTAACAACAATTAATTAGCTGCCCCCACAATTACCTTGTGAAGTCTCCCTTAACCTATGCTTAGCTGCAATTTAAATAGAAACAATTAGCAGTAGTGGTTTGCTGCCCAAGATCCTGCTTTATCCCATGCTTATTTTCCTTGCCTCTGGGCTATATAACTTAATACAGCAATATTTCTCTGATCTTATTCTCCTCTATAAAAATGTGAAGGCTTAAATGAGAAGTACTGTGATAATCTAAGCCATAATGGAGAAGCAGGGATCACAAGGAGAACTTCACAGTTGAACGGTCTGATTTGTCAGCATTACTTTGGTACATCCAGGATGTCCTAAAGCACAGGGCATATTAATATACAGAGAAAACTACATCAAATGATCAAACTCATCAGCAAACTCATTAGCAAGAGGAATTTTCATGACCAAGTATTGTATGTTATCCAAAATGTGCAGCAAACAATTCCATGGTAAATCAGTGTTTTATGATAGTCAACTAAAAAGGCTCAGGATAGGCCTCATATACAGCATAGCTAGTCACAGGCTTTGTTGTAATTATTTTTGCCAACTTTTAACTTACTTCCCTGATGTTGCATAGTGAAAAGAATTCTGTTACTTGTTTTCTCTTAATTTTTAAATATAAAACAGTAGTGTGATCTCTAACATTTATGATTAAAAAGCCTTTTATCTGATGATCACCCATACATTAAGAACAGAATAATACTTTTCTAGTCTTGTATTATCTACATTTTTAATTTTGCTAAACATCTGTTCCTCTACAGATCTGCAATGTGCTTCATGACTAAGCATTAGGTCACCATGATTGAACCATGTTAAGCAGAATTCAGGTGTGACTGAATTGTGAAGTGTAAGTGCAGTGCTCTGGTCCATTTTTTGTACTGTACACAAATTTATTCTTATTTCTGTGAACCTCTGAAGGTACAAAGCTTCTCAGATAAGCTTTGCTCACACAGCTTCTCCCTCAGGGCTACAGTTCATGTTACATCACTTGATATTTCTGATACATTTACAAGCTTCAACAATCACTCACCTTCCTGTGTTTTTCATTACCCATTTATTCTCTTCAATTAACAGATTTCAGGCACTGTTCCTAGAAAATTTCTTTACTTTTGGCTACACATCCAGAAGCCAAGTGCTTTTCTGATCCACTTTAGATGACAAGTGCACTCTATAGAATGGAAAGCACCAGAATTTGAGAAAAACCCTACTATGTTTAATCTCAGTGGAAGTGGTTAAAGTTGAAGTTTCAGCAAAAAAAACTGTCCCCAGCAGAACTGGACAGGTAGGTAGGCTCCAGGAAGAGAAGGGGGCAATGAACAAGCTGTCTTCAGAGATCACAGCTTAGATTTAACAAGTTGAGCAAGAACTGGATATTGATGTATACATCTTAGGCAGTTACGAACTTAAATGCACATTTAGACATCTTCTTCTACTACCTTCTTTCCAGAAAAATATAATCATGCAGATTGTAGGAAATGGACTGCCATATGCAATAAGATGCAGCAAAAAGCCTACCTCATAGGCCTCTACCTTTGGCAAAAATAAATACGAGGATAGTACGTGATGTAACCATGATATACTCAGATTATGAACAAGGAAGACTTTCCAAATGAAGACGCTGAGTCAGGCTTGGTAAAACTGACATTGCCAGCTCCTGTTCTGATACAAGGCCTAAAGGTATAACAATATGCCTTTTATATATATATATATATTAAAAACTCTGGGTTTGTGTATGTGCTTGACAAAGCTGTAGCTTATGTTCAGAGCTAACTGTGCAGTAGTACTGTGATCCATAAGATTTAAACTTACTTTAACCTTTGAGTCTGTGCAGTGGATATTTTTAGGTGAGGCTCAGCCTGTGCAGAACTTGTCCCACCCTTTACTCCTGAGGTTCATCTGTCAGGGCCTAGCAAGCTTGGATGGTGATTTTAAACCCTCTAACATTAGGCATACCAAAGAATTGCTCTGTGTTTGGGTTTTTGAAAGATCTATGAGGACTTATGCTGTAGTATCATGCAGAAATCTGTACCATTTTCTATTTTCAAAATTTTTGGTAAATTAACTATCCTTGCTCAGCTCAGCATCTTGAACACTACTGTGATTATCTTTGTTGATAAAAGATCAGAATCCTACAGTACATTACAAAGTTATGCAAAAAATATTAGTTCGTCTATAGTGACGGTATTTCAGAATTTGTCACGCCGTAAGTCCAAAGATATGACATAGCACACTCAGATCCATCTAAAACGTCTTCTCCTAAAAATAACCTAATGAAAGTATGTCTACACAGCCAACCCCCTGACCACTGTGCTACGTGTCTGCAACAGCTGGCAGCTGCTGCTGCATGGAGCCTGCATTTCTCACCCTTATAAAACCTTAATTACTCTCTCATTTCTAGTACTGCATCTGCTACTTAATAACATGGGTCTTGGCAAGATGGGGTGATAATTTAGCTAGCCCAATTCAAGTATATTCAGTAACACAGAATACAGTCTGTGATCCAAAGTAAGAATTTTGCCAGCTCTCATTATCACTAGCATTCTGTGCTCTAATTTACGATGTTATAAAGGGACCTGAAATATTGCTCATGTCCTTTCTACTCCATCACCCCACAGGGAACTCTCCCTGCACTAAGCACCTTTTTTTTTTTTGCAAAGCAAACATAAGGCTGTTATAATAAGAGATTTTAAAAAATAATCTCCCCCATTCATTGAAAGTTGCCTTAGAAACATATCAACAAAAAAAGATCCCTCCCTTTCAGTTTGCTGCTTTAGCAGGTTGATACACAGCATTCTGGAATACACTTCTCAGGGTTAGAAACAGAGGAAAGAAAATGACCTCATATTAACAATAATTCTTCAGGGATTAAAAATACTTTTTGCCTTTAGTGGGACATCAGGTTAAGGCCAACACATTTTTACCATAATCCCGGAAGTTTTTACACAATACACACCAAGCCGGTTGGCTTTTTCAAAGTGCAATGTTGATGTCAGTTGTTCTCCCCTCACTGCTGAGATTTCTGTAACAAGAGGCAGATTTGCCTGCCCTGTTCTTCCATATCTCATACTCCTCTCCAAAATCAGGTTTCTTATTACAATGACTCCAAGAACCATGAAATGTATTTCCATCCACTTGAGAGGTGGAATCTTTTACCTTTCAAGCTTGCCCTTTTCCCCTTTCAGTTCCAGGGTCTATGTAGCTCTTACCAGTCTTAAGAAGTGCTTATGGCAGAGACCATTTAAACAGGTCATTTTTCTTATGCTCCTTTTTGAGATGAAATCTGACTAGTTTTCCATTTTGAAAAATATTTTAATGACTTCAGAATTGTCGTGAAATATCCAAAACAGTTTCACTTTCTGGAAAATTAAATGAAGAATCCCCCAAATTTTCAACATGATAAAGTTGAATGGAGCAGATTCATCATGTGAAGACAGAAATAAGGCCAAAATTACATGGCAAACTAACAACAAATGATCCTTTTGACTTGCAGTCCATGCTTTTTTTTTTTTTTTTAAATACTTTTTTGTACTGATTCTTTTTTTATTCAAAGGACTTTCAGCTTCTCCTACCTGCTTTTTTCACTATTCTGTTTCCAGTCACACTTCCCATTCTCTTTGGGGATTTTCTTCAACTTCGCTACCAAGTTTGCTGTCTGTAAAAGATGTCATCAGCTTTCTTCTACTTCACAGAGCTTACATCATCCTTTCACTTCTTGGTCTTTCTATCTAAAAACTGATTTGAGTTTGTATTCTTGAGCAACTGATTCAGTTCTCACATACTCATGGTGAGGACTCCATTTATTGAAAAGCTACACCAGAAAAGAAGTAAAGAGGAATACATGGAGATAAAAAGGGAAAGAGTGAACTGTTTCAGACTACAGAGTTTGAAGTCCTGACTTTAAGCAGTACTGACAGACTTAACATAGCCTGTAGTTCCTACAGTACTGACAGGCTTAGCACGCTATGCACAGATCAACATCAGTTTTAAAAGAAAGTGCTATGCTTTAAAATTGTGCTATGCCAGTAGAGCACTAGGAACAGGTGAGGGGCTGAGGGAGTAGCTCTACAATGTCAGTCATTGAGGAAGTATTAGAAGAGCCAGATGACCCAGTAGAAACAGCACTATTGTACTGACCACCAAGAAAAAGAAATCCAGTTTCAAAACTGGTCAGAAACGCAAAGCCTGCTCTCGGTAGCATCTCAAGAAGTCCCTCAAATGCCTTGCTCCGGCAACCCACACCAAGATGTATGTATTTCTCTGTACTGTCTTTCTACCTGTCTGATTTCGTAGTCAGAGCAGTTCAAAACCCAACTTACAGAATCTGATATCATAAATACCAATTAAACTCTTCTGTCCTGATAAACAGTAATATCTCTACAAAAGATCTTTGAAACACTTATTTTCGTTCATGCTGGTGATTCTCCTCAAACTTAGCAATGGAGAACAAGGCAGCAGTCCCCTGTAGCTTCAACAGAAAGAGTTCTGAATTCAAACCAAGAACTAGATTTGAATTTTCCCATGTCAGTTGCTTCCTGAAGAGTTCTTATTTATGCAGACTCCATCTTTCAATATTCATCCACCCCTGCAGTTTCCCTTTTGGGAAGTATTTGCTTAGCAGGTAATATCAGCAGAAATGCAGATTGCGGTAACATGAATAATTCAAAACTTCAAAAGGCGGGGGGGGCAACCTAAGAGATTCATTAACATTTTTCAATAGAATTGAAACACGCAGTGAATACACCCTAATATGTCTGTCAGAAGCCTTCAATGAATTTTACCGCTCAATCTGTATCAGAATGCACATACAGTTTTCCCTGCCACAACACTATTCTTAAATAGATGTCAAGGCTCAGGTCCTTAGCAGATGCTACCTACTTCTCATGGAATATGATTCTAACATGCAGGCGTCACAGACTTTCAAGGAAGACCAAGGAACTTCCAGGTTGCCCTCTAACCACAGAGGAGCTGATAAGGTACTGTTAGTGCCCCATAGTTCAGGATAACCTGTTCAGACCACATCTGTGAAAGTTTCGAGGAGATTCACAAGTGAGGTGTTCCTCTGCCTGTTCTACTGCGTATATTCCTCATACCCCGATATACCAGAGCTGCCTCAAGTCTCCTCAAAGAGAAAAGTTACAAAGAATGTGCCTGGTGCTTAAGCTGGTACAGGACAAATCTACACTTGTTTCCATGTTCCATATAGATCTAGATTATCACTGCAGAGAACACATTTTATCAAGTTAGAAAAATAAAATAAATCTTTTTTGACATACAAACTGGTTAAATTAACACTACTATATTCAGAGATATAGAAGCAGGAGAGTCATGGGAATATGTAAAGGAAATTTGTTCATTAATGACATAAATATAATTTTTTTGTGTATATGATCTACTTTAAACAGAAAAAACCTGCATCCTCATTAAACCTCACAGAGCAATTTTTTAGACTTTCTACAGGTCCAGGACCCTCAAGATGAAGGATGAGCTATCAAGTTAGTATTTCATACATTGTTCTTATGGGATGTCGTCCTTATTTAATGCCACAGCAGTATGGCTCTATGAATTTCAGTGCTTTACTTACCTATATGACAGCAGAACTGTCTCAGTTTTATCAGTTATCAGACTAAGGTAAGAACAGACCATATATTTGGATGTATCCAAGTATTTGTCAAATCTTGTTGATACAATTCTACACACATGAGATTGAACTGTGGACTCTCACACTGTCATTTTATACAAAACCATCTATATAGAGAGAACACAATTGCAGCAAAATCAGACTTTATATATCGCAGAATCACAGAATATGCCAAGTTGGAAGGGTCCCACAAGGATCAGAATATAAGTTTTGAGCTACTTCCCCGTTTCTACAAAATTAGAATTTAAAATTTACAAGATTAAAAATTTTTCACCATAGAAATAATCTTCCTTTCCTCCAAGAAATGAGGGCAGTTTTTTAACTGGGTCGCTTGGAACAACTTTTCTCTGAAGCTTTCTTCAGGTTTCCTAGAAACTTAACCACCCCATTGGTCAGATTTTTAGGTGAGGGTTTTAACTTTTCTGATGGTGAGTGAAGATAAACAATTTTGGTGCAGTATCTCCCCAGCTAATCCCAGTTTTAAGGCTGTTTAAAAAGCCTTAAAACATTTACTACAGCCATCATCTCTGCACTCCTTAGTTCTTTGCCAGTAACAGGCCAATACAGCTACATCATCTTCTACCAGAAACTCAGTTTCCTTCCCCTAATCCTCTTCTGTTTGAGAAATAAAATAAAATTTAAAACAAACAAACAACATACAAACCTCCCCCCTCCACCCCTCCCGCCCCACTTGTTTTGATAGTTTGAGGTCTACTTTCTGTGGTGGAATAATAACAAGGGAAGATGTAAAGCTTAGCTGTTTGTGTATTTAGTTTTGTTTCAATACAAAAAATATTGTAAACATTTTTTTCTCAGTTGACCTCAAGCTATTTCAATAAGACATAGTTCTAAGGTCATTTTCCTAATCTGATGAAAGGCTCAGGGCCACCCCAAAGAACTGGGCAGGCAATATTTTTAACACCCATGTATTTACCTAACGTTGTTGTCTTTTTTAACAGCTTCACCACAGAACATAATTGTGAAAGGAATGCTCACAATAAATAAGTATTCTTACCCTGAAATGTAACTGATGCCCAAAGCATGCCATGAAAAAGAAACCTGCAAGATAGGAAGAAATAAAAGTCAAAATCTAGTATAAATGCTACTGTACCTGCATACTAAAAAATCCAACAAAAGCTGAAATATGCCTTCATTTCTAGGCCACAAGTCCAGATTGTTGCTTCTTGCTTTCAAACATGAAATGGCCTTAGAAAATAAAAAAGTCTTTTACTCCCCACATCCTATTTCTCTTAATTTGTACAATTAACTTACAAATTACACTGAGGTGATACATGTAGAATTTTTACAGCCTAATGTTTGCCAGAATATTAGTTGTGTGTAACTTGATTGTCAAAGAAACCAGAATCTGGACATGTAATGTGCATATTCTTGGCAGTTTAGCCATCTAAGAGTTTAAAAAAAGGGAAAAAAAAAAAGCTGGTAAGTAACTGAGGGAGAATGGAACCAATTATGACTGTTTTTACAAGGCAAAAATTTCTAAATCAGCTTCGTTTTTTAAAAATACTCATATAAATATGCAATACCCAATCTGGAACAAGGCAAAAAAATTCTCAAAAAGGAACACTAGTAGAAAATTGTTTAGAAACAGTCAGAAAAACTATTTTAGCCAATCCAAAGCAAGCTTTATAGTAAACTTTCTCCATTAAACCTCATCAGACTGCCATTTTCTTCTTTTCTGTTTTAATTTAAATAATTGTTATTTTACTTTCCTCCAGCTTAAGTAAAAGATTACCAAAGAAAATTTATGATTTTTTGTAGGTTTTATAGACTGTGGTGGAATTCTAAGGTAGATAATCCTTTCCAGGTCCATATTTTGCTAATCTTTGATAAAACCAGAAAAAAAATCAATTAATGGTGAGAAGAAAGAATGATAGAACTTTACAGTTTTTTAAATACATTATATATAAAATCATGTATTACACAACTGAGAACTCCTTTGATGCAGCTGAATCTATAAAGCTGAAGGGTTTTGCATTCATATCCGTCAGTGCTGAGTGGGCTGGCAGCTGCAGCAACCACTCACCTGGATAAAATGAACGAAACTAAACAATCCACTATAAATAGGAAAAAAGGGAAAATCTTGAACACTGTACTGCATAGGCCTACAAAATATTCACTAGGGAGTAACAATCTTATTATGCAAGCACTTTCCAAAGTATGTACTCTGCTCTGGGGTTCAGCATTCATCTCAAAAGCAAAAAATGTACAGTAAGTTGTGGCAGATCTACAATTTGGATACAGAGAAGCCCAAACACTGACTTTTCCTACTTGGGCACACCTGAAGGAAAGAACCAACAGTAGCTGCCACTTTGGAGTGTGTGCACTCAAGGTAATCATAATGCAGCTGCTTGAACTTCCTGACTACAGAGGAAAACCAAATTGTTGGCAGAAATTCCTACGTCAGGTGCAGGTCTTCTGCATCCAGAGCCAGGGTTCAGCTTTTTATTGGCTTGCCTCTTGCAGCTAGCACAGTTAGGAGTACTTACTTATTTTTAACTATTATAGCAGCTCCTGCTGCTCTGCCCTCTTGCAGAAACATACCTTCTTCTGTCTTATATTGATATAAATCTTGGGGTCCCAACTCCTAGTGGATGCACAGTCTCATATCTTCCCCTTATTACTGTGGGAGTGGTGGGGTAATTCATTGAAAAGGAGAAATTAATGCATTTCTCATAGTGACAACAGAAATTACTCTGGCAGTCAAGGGAAAATTGGAATATAATATCCACATGGCAAAGGCGGATGGCACATGCTCAGCCTGCAATCACAGAATTATTTTCAGATATTTTCCTGAGAAAATATACAGTATTCACAGACCATGTAATGCAGGCAAGGGGTAATGCATACAGTGACAGTTACACAGAAACAACAGACAAAGAGATGAGATATATGTGTGTAAAATTCCTACACGTAGGTCCAATTTTTTCCTTTATGCATATTTTGCATAACAGTTCACCAGTGATTCAGGCTGCACAGAGATATTAAAACAATGTCCTGGTAGTGCAAATACTTGATATGTACAGATAATTTAGACAAAAAATATTTTGTGCAATTACAGAAACATACAATCAGCTTAATATAAGGCACACGGAACAAAAAAAGTTCCAAACTAAAATTTATCTACTTATAACTCATTCATCAGCTTTCCCAGAGCAGTTGTTCACATTTCTAGTGTAACCAGTGACAATGACAATTAAATCACCTTCAAAACAGGATTTATTTAATCTGATATCACTTGATTGAAAACATGGCTGTTTAAAGTTACTTTTTTCCTCTTTCTCTCATAGCTGGAATAGAACAAGCGACTGATAAGGAGGGCAATCAGAAGTGCTGTAACATTACAACTATGATATTTATCATCTGACTTTGAATGATGAAACATCAAATTATAATGGAGGGCTATAAAGACAGAGTTGAAATTCAAGTTGTCAGAGTGGTCTAGAGAAGGTACATGTTACAAAATAAGTTTGCAGTCGAGTGCCTTGTTCCCTTTGGACTATAATAAATGCAGCCTTAGACGTGGTATAAACCTTAGATAAGTGATCAACTGCAGTCTCTAGAAGGCTTGCATGACAGTCTAATGCCTGTGCCAAGAATAAATAAATCATAACTGTCCCTTCTGGAACTCAAACTTATGAATTAGCTTTAAGGGAATAGTCTAGAAAAAGAGCAGTCTAGCTAAAGCTGAAAACAAATAAACCAACCAAACTCAAAAATCTTTCCTTGCTTTTGCAATTCTGATGTGAAAAACATTTTGTTGTTCTTCCCATTGATATTTTTTATGCCAAGTATTTTTCTGATCACCACAAATGGCTCATACACATTTATGAACAACCACACCTATCTGTCCAGCTTCACCAAGAAACCTCTTCTGGATAACACAGATTCTCAGATCTCTGTAAAAATTATTCAACTATCTATTCTTGGCTTTTTGTTTTTTGGGCTTTTAAAAATTTTTTTATTGTCTCATCCAGTAAAATAGAATTTGTGTACTGCTCTTACTTACTCTGAAGAAACCTTACATGAAAAGCTTGGGAAAACAATAAACTATTCATTAACAATCCCAAACATAAAAAAGGTATTACAAAGGCAGGTAAAACCAAGGGTATTAAATAAAAAAAACATGTAAAGTTTTTTTTCTTTATCACATTCTAGGGACTCACACTTTGTAGTACTGAACCGTAAAGCTTCTATGATATTTTTCAGTCAAGTAATTCAGTCCCACCTACTTGCAAGATCTTTGTCTTCAAGTTTGCTATCAGTAAGCAGAATCAAAGTTTGTGCACAGATACTTCTTCTCTCAACCTCCCCACTTATTTTGGTTTTTTTCTCCTTTTCAAAAGCCCAAGTTATTCCATTGGGCCCCATTAGGAAAGAAGGATACCTACCTAAAATTTGTACCAGCTATTTATTCACAGAACAGTTTAAATTCTTTTTTTTGGAATATAAACTGCTTCCACCTCTTTAGAAATGCTAATATCCCATGACTGTATGAGCCATGGTCATCTGCTGTCCTCAAATAGATGTTTCACTAAGTTCTAAATAAATCATTAGCCCACAGTAAGATAAAATGCTCTTTACTGCATCACACAGTGGTGTTCAAATTTCAGGGTGAAGGCTTTTCACACAATTAATCATGTATTTCATGGGAGTGTGCATACTGAATTATATTTTATACAAGTTTATGAACTGGTTCAATGCACACAGCTTACTACAGGATCTTGGATGACTTTATGGTTTCAGTGATTCAAGGGCAGACTGGTCTTTGAAGGAAAAGTTACCAGTGACTTTCTGGAATAATGGTCTAAGCATGAAATCCCACAATAAAGGCATGTCTTAACCTTTTCACTTTCCTGATGAATGAAACAATCAGAAAAATAGCTGAGCAAGATGAGGCTTATCCATATTTCTAAGCGAGAGGGAAACTTTGAAATTAGCAAGAAGTATTGGGAGTTTATTGGGAATACAGCAGAAACTTGGTAGTCATAGTTCTCTCCTCCTCATCACACCACCAAGGTTATGGTCATAGACTTTTAACTTTTCATTGAGAAAGCTGTAAATTATGAAATAAGCTTGGTTGGTTCCTAATAAATATTCATAACCTCACGGCACTGAGCAGTGCAGATAGAATTCTATGCTGCTCATCCCTTCAGGTCCACGGATATGAGTACTTCAGGATATGGAGTGAGCATGGAGAATCTATTTTAATTCCTTTGTAGAAGTAAATTTTGCTTTTGCAACAACCTAAAAAGGTATGAGAAACAAAAATTACTACTGCTATTATGTCAAAACCTGTAAAATCTGTTTTCAAGGGGAAGTGTTTACAGGATTTGGCTCTGTCTGGCAGTTCTGAATAAGGCAGCTGCTTGCCCTCTTCTGGAAAAATGTCATGATAGGTCTGTGGTAACTATGTGGTATTCCAGACATCATCAATAATTTTTTATGTTTATTTACTGGTTTTTCTCCTTTGCCAGGCCACAGATATCTTATGCAATTTTCTAAGCTGATCGGAAGGAAGTAGAACGAAAGAAAGCTTTTTAATTACAGGGTTCAATATTTATATTCTTACAGTAAGAGAGGCTAATAATTTGCTCCATCTTGGTGAGCATTCAAGGGTTTCAGCTTCTGATTTTAGCTGTATTCTACTATAGAAGTCTTTCCCACCATCAGAAAAGTTATACTAGCTTCTGGTTTAAATGAACTGAAAAAAATACTATTAAAGAACAGAAGTCATGAATAAAATTAGACTGAGATATGATTTTAAGGCAAGTTAAGGAAACAACAGGAGTTTCAACATGTTCCTGCAAATATTTTGGCCCATGTAAGTAATAAATATATTTTAATTGGAAAGTAAATTGCTTAATGTGCATCTTCCTGGTAGCATTTTTGTGTCAAACTATATCAGGATTCTCCTTTTAAGGACCTTTTATAAACAGTCATATCAGGTTGAGCTAATCCTTGAATACCATACTCTATTTGCTACACTATTGAGGAAAAAAAAATCCAAATCTTCTGTTACTTCATACTGATATTGAATC